TATATATATACATACACACAATTGCGTTAACTAAATTAATTTTCCTCACAAAGAACAGAACATTCAGTCCATTAGTTTTATGTTAATTTAGCTTGATGTTTATTTTGCAATTTTGCGATTTACGATTATTAATAAGTGATCACTGTTGTAGATTAACTACCAATGTGGTAGTTAACTAATTGAAATACCTGCTCTACTAATGATCTGTCAGAAAGTTGGTGTATGGGTTGGCTTATTTTGTTTTAATTTAACTGAAACACAAAACTCTTGCAGAATATCTACATGTTGACATTGTCGAAGTGAAGTTATCATAACTGACCTACCCTAACTCTCACAATTTATTTTTATTAAAACTTTTTCCTGACCGTGTTATCTAGTTGTCGTAGTGTTGACAATAACTAGCAAAACACTGCATCCCTTTTTCTTTTATATATCAGGCGTACATTTAAGATTTAGTGCGTTATGTTGACAACTTAAAAGCTAAAACGAATAGTAGTCATTGTCGGCAAGCTCCAGAAGGGGGTGACAGAGTGAGGGGGATCTTATGCAAGTGACGACACGCCTATAGTCTTGTGGGTAGTCTATAGCATTATGTGTAGTTTATCGTATTGTGCAAAAATATTCACACCTCTTAAGCTTTCTGATATTTTGTCACAACCACAAAATTATGCTAAGGTAACAAAGCACATAAAGAGTACGAAAGAGCATGTCTGTCCCATCATAATGGGATATATCTGATAATCAGGCTATACCTCAGTACAGCCGATATTCTTACAGTTCTGAACACTATTGACAGAAGTAATGAAGTGTGTTGCTCCCATGGATATAACAGGGGGTTTTGACTAGGTATGGCACCAGAATTGATATGTGAACATTTACCGATGAACTATCCTTAAGGAACATCCACCTAGGCTCTTGTTTTTGCTCCATCATTATCACATGCCTCATGAAAATAAGGCAAGTTTTGGGACTAAGAAGAACTATTTGTTGCATTCTGATGATTTCACCATCAGAATGCAACAGAATCTCTATGCAGATCTGAGGTGGCATCAAGCTTAAACAACAGTGATCTGTTCCATAAGACTCCATCTCTTCATTGGGCCCAGAAAAATCTTTTTCATTAAGAGTTTAGAGAGTCTAGCTATGCATTTCAACAGTAAACTCATATGGACCAACCGTTTGCATAAGTGTAGGGCAGAAGGTAGACTGACTAGTAAATTTCACCCATAGAGCAGAACATATAGTATCAGAAAGCTCAAGAGTTTTGTAGAATTCTCCTGCCTTGCCTGGATGAACGTTTCACAGGCCGCTTTTCAGGATTTTTGATAAAAGCTGTTGGAAAAAGTAAATAGTAAAATAAAGTAGGTTTGTGGTTGTAATGTGACAGTGTAAAAATGTGTAAAGCACTATATATGATGTCCTGGGTTTAAAGCGAAGGTTGTTGTCTGAAATAATAATGTGAAATTTAATCTGAAAATGAGATGATTTAATATGAATCTGTGTACATTTATGTTGCCTTCAGGGTTCTGTGGCTTACGTTCCACAGCAGGCCTGGATCCAGAACTCCACACTAAAAGAAAACATCATGTTTGGTCAGAAGAGGAGGGAGGACTGGTACAACCATGTGGTGGAAGTGTGTGCTCTCCAGCCAGACCTGGAGATTCTCCCTGCTGGGGATGAGACGGAGATTGGAGAGAAGGTATTGACTGAGGATCTGTCTGTCCATTAATCACTATAACATAACATAGTATATAGCATTTAGACACTAATGACTGTATATATAGTTATTTTTGAGGGAAGAATAAATTTACACAGTTACATATGCTGCACACAGACTACTTTTCATTATGTCAAAGTGTCATTTTTGTCATTGTTGTCCCATGAAAAAATATACTTAAATATCTGCAGGAATATCAGGGATGTACTCATTCAGCTGTTTTGACTATCTGAAATATTAGGCATTTGCTCAGTTAAAGATTTTTAATGTTGCTCATTCTGGAGCTGATTCCATAGATAAGCAGTAACATTTTTTCTATGTGATGCCAAAGCCAAAAGTAATTAATTCTGTGTAGCATCCGAGATGTTTTCATTTCAGTTCCTTACCCATTCTGTGTTTAGGGAGTGAATCTGTCTGGTGGCCAGAAGCAGCGGGTGAGCCTGGCCAGAGCAGTGTATTGTGACCGTGCTGTATACTTGCTGGATGACCCACTGTCTGCTGTTGATGCTCATGTTGGAAAGCACATCTTCGATTATGTCATTGGCCCACGGGGCATACTGAGGGACAAGGTGGGTAAACCAACCTGAATCTGAGCCCACTCCATTTTTGTTTACATTTCATGAAGAAGGAAGTGCTCATGTTTTCTTTATAGGTTCCCTGTAAAGGTTTCTTTTCCTTCATTTGTTGTTCGTGCAATGCTACCACAGGCGCGTGACAGAACAGGGATTTCCAAGCGCTTGGTTTGTGGTTTGGCACATTACAATGTGAAAGCAAACTGCACCAGCTGAAAAATGTAGCAAATGTTGCCATTTTTGTCCCTAATGGAGCCAATTCTAGGTGTGAAAACTCCCTAAATTTTATCTTTGAGTGTATCGGTACTTTTTTCCAGCATTCACTGCGTACCAGAACTTTTTTCCAGTTTTGTGGTTTTACATCAGTCTGCACTTCTCCATCAGTATGTTCCCAGCCCATAACCGGTGTTCTAACTATCTGTGCTACCCATCAATCTGTCCTGCCTTGTGGTAAGGCACATGCACACATCGATGCTACGTCATATTGTTTATTCAGCAGATTTCTTATCTATATGTCCTACCCATGGAGGTTTCGTTTTGTCTGTTTTATTTCATCAAAGATAAAGGTAAGCTTTAATTAATTTATTTTATACCTGGCTTTCCTTAAGCTGCTGTATTACTTAATGTTTTAAGTTTAGATAAGAGACAGCATATTTGTAAATGGCTTCAGTTTGCTGTCTGCAGTGTTGTTACTATGCTGTATACTGTGAACACAAAAGTCATTGCTTGGCATCAACCACATGAATCAGGACCTATTGCATTGTTTTTGTGGGCTATTTTGTCATTACACTTTAGAATATTTTAGTTTAATAAAAAAATTAAATTAAATTAAACCGTGCTAAATAGAGCATGTTTAGTGATATTATGCGGAATTGTATCTGTCTATGTCTACAGCGTAATATCATTTTATATTAAGCATACCCTATCATTTCAGGTGCACAGTGACCTGCGCAGTTCGATGGACATGTTTTGGCTGCACTGCATTGGATAAAGACTGCCATAAAACTTTTGCAGGGATCTGTATTTTTGTAGATGTCTGTGTTTAATTTCAATAAAAACATGTTCCCCTTTCTCATACTCTTTCATTCTTACAAACTCCTCTGTATTTAAAATATTTTTAATATTTAAATATTATTATTTTAGATATTCTTATGCACTGTCTTAATGTACCAATATGAGCTTCCCACACATTTACCAGGTAAGATATTCTGATGGAGTTTTAGTGATCAACATGTGCTACCTCTATATTTTATAACAATATCCAAATGAAGGAATCTGCTTTAGTAAATGTGCTGCCCACATATTTACCAAGTAGGATATTTTGATGGAGTTATGGTAGATCAACATGTGCTACCATGTCTATTTTATGAAGGTAGGATTCAAATATGGGGTTTTAGTGCATCTAAATGTACCAGCGTTGCGTACTAAAACAGGCGCTGTCGTGTCCTCAACCTCCATCGCCTTGTTGGAGTCGACATTCAGAAAAACTCTTCTCCAAAATGACCACACAGACAAGAGGGCTTACGAAGACTCTTTACTGAAGCAAGTTTGAGTAGGGTAAAACTGAGAAATGAACACACAAACTTTCAGAAATAATACACAGTAGCAAACAATACAGCACTTAAATGTACAATAAATTTGCTCCAGAGAAAACATTTAGGTCAAGGCTGTAAAAGTTTTTGGGTAACACTTTATTTGAAGGGGTGTGAATAAGACTGTCATGACACTGTCATAAACATGACGTAACATCTGTCATGAACATGAATAAGCCTTCATGAATATTTATGACTTGTCATAAAGTGTCATTCGGTAAATCATGACACTTTTAATACAAAGTTAACATTATTCAAAATGTTTTTATGACAACTTGTCATTAACCAAGAAATCATGATCTGACATAAATTTGTCACAATAGTAGTCATAATGATTTAATTATTATACTAGCAAAAGCTTTAACAAAATAGTAATTAAAATTTCCACTCCCTGAAATAAAGCAAAGCTAGTAGGACAAGCAATAAAGATTTCATTAAGCTTTATTACACTGTAAAATGATTTAATAACAGGCTCATTAACAATTTCTTTTACATCAACTAAAGTGGAACAAATAGCACCAGTTATAAATATGTCATTAAGTGTTATTACAGTGTCATTAAGTAAAGTAAAACAAGTAACAGTTATGAAAATGTCATTAAGTGCCATTAATATTAGCTTTTACCTCAATGTGAGA